AAAAATAAAGAAAAGAAAAAAAACAGGAATGACAAAATACCTGGCAAAGGAAAACCACTAGAGCAAGAGACAGAGTTTTTCCCCAAACAGAGTAGACACAGAATTGCAATAAAAATTACAAATATTTTTATGAATTAAAAAACAAAGTGGACATAAAACGGAAATTAAAGAAAGAAAATAATAAAATAAGGGAATATATATTTATAATTATGCTGTAGTTAGCAAAGTAAATGAAAATCTAATTGGAAAAAAGTAACCAAAGTGAGAAAGTGAAATTAAAACGAAATAAGAAAAAAAATATTGAATATTAAAGTGTTTTTGTAGAAACATTTGTTTGTGTTTTTCCCCAGCTTTTTTCCTTTTGGAAATCGTTAATGGTTTTTTGAGTGAAAACCTTTTTGTAGAGTATTTTTTGGAAAAAATTTATTTGTTTCAAGGATTTTTGCAACCTACCCCACTTTTCTGTGTGTGTACGTGCGTGTATGTTTTGCGCTCCCAATAAGGAATTGCATTGTGGACTAGGATAAACGTATGAACCAATCAACAGCCAACATTAAATCACACAACGTCGTCCTTAAAATATATTTTGTCATTGCCTTCAAAAGGACCCCCACAACAACACCAACAACAACCCATTTTTGGAGGCTGCTTATTATTTAATCGATAATAAAACTTCATTCTGGAATATTTTAACGTTGCTAAGGAAATCTTTGTCATCGCCGCCGCCACCACCTCCTCCAGCATTCTTGTTTTGGTGTTTTGTTGTCACAAAAAGAGTTGAAGCTCTCCCCTCCGTTCCGCAGCACAAAAACCCAAACATATGTTTGTTTAACTTGACCTCTCGCGATAAAATACAAGTTAATTACCTTACCCCCAACAATGTATAAAACCATAAGGCACGGTGAGAATAGCCTACAGTATACCATACTACCACAAAATGATGATTTTCGTCTGGAGGGCAAAATCAAATCGGCCGGTTCGAAAAAATCCAAAACTAAAAAGCCACGTCGAAGATCATTTTTTGCCTATTTAGGTCTGCTGTTCGTGTGTACTGTCATAATCGGTGCGGTGTTGGTGCCATTTTTGGTATCTGCCGGCCTGCCCAATCCCACAGAATGGTTTCAAAAAACCAAGGCAGCTTTCACGCGGAGCTCAGCCCCCACCATCAACACCCCGAGCAAGGAGAACAAAGAAAATCTGCCCACCAACCCACAACAACACACCGGAAGTGCTTTGGCCAATGCCATGCTTAACAAAGGCAATTTGATGGCTTTGAACAAAGCCAATGTGGGTAAACCGGTGAAAATTATCAACAAGGATGGTGTGGAGAAAATTATTTTAAAATTAAATAAAACTCAGCCCCAAGCCATTGGTACAAAGGTGGAAAGTCAGGCAAACACCATAGCTCCCGTTGGAGATAATGGCATTGTAACAACTCTCAAAGATGATGCGATACCGAAAATTACCATACATGATCTGGAGGAAGTACCCAATTCAATTACCACCGTCCAGCCGCAATTGAAACCACAAACAACCATGCGGACAACTGCTGCTACCATTCCCGAAGTGTTAGCTGTAACCACAAGTAGTTCGGTAATGGTTGCAGGAAATCGCACAGTGATTTCCAACTCAATTCCCAATGTTCCAAGGGCCTCATTGCAATCCTCATTAAATCAAAATAACAATCTGACATCATCCTCCTCTTCGTCCTCTACTTCGGGTATATCTGCATTCTCATCATCTTCTACTCAGCCCACAATTACCACCCGCATCATGCAGGTGCCATTGCTAAAATCCACCGCCAAGAAACCGGCCATACCACCAGTACTCGTCAAAAATCTATCACCTATACAACCTACACCTGAAACTAACAACAACAATTTGAATGATATCATTCCCTCCAAAACGTTAACAGCCAATACAAATAATAATATTAATAATAAAATGTTGAACGCCAACCCAGATTCCGATTGGATACACACCCATTGGCCATACATAGATCCATCAACTTATTTCCAATGGAATGTAAGTTAAGCATTCAATCAACCTATGTTGTCCTTAATTTATATTTTTAAAGAATTGATTATTAATTCTGCTTTTCCTTTTCTCTTTCTCCATCAAAAGGGTTATAAAACTGAGGACAGCATTTTATTGCCAGCCTTATTGGGTTTTGCTTTAATTGGTGTCATTCTCATCATAACTGTCTGTTTGGTGGCACGCAACAAAAGGACCATTGTCACTTCAGTTCGTAAGAGGAATCGTAATGTAAGTAGATGAATATGTGTGTATGTATATTTGTGTGTGTGTGGGTGGGTGTTATGATGGGCATGGGCCATAAGCTATAAAGAAAAGGGATATTAGCTAGCCCTCCAGTTAAAAAATGGAATATTGATTAAAAAATCAATAGAATAGGAAGTCTTTAATAGTAAATTCCGTAGACTTGTAGAAGACACGGAAATATCACATAAATATAGATTGAAGTGACAGACGATGGTCGAGCAAGTCTCAAGTCGATTCTGATCTTAGGCTTATTGGGAAGTATTTATTTCTGTTTGTACTGCATAAAAATATTTAGGATAATTGAAAAATATAAAAAAATCGATAAGTAAATATAGTTTTCTTAAATATATATAATTGACTCACGAACCTCCTTTTGTTTTTCCAAATAATAACGAACCATTATGATGAATCTCAGTCGTTCTAGTTGATATGATTGGTAGAATTATTATTCCTCATGGCATTGCTAAATGAAATAAATATTGATCGCTATTGATTGGTAGCGAATTATTCCCCATGGCATTGCCAACTGAAATAAAAATTGTAACTAATTTCAATCATTAATATTTCTTTCCATCAAATTTTATCTTTATATAGTTTTTTTCCGAATAACAATTGTCCATTTAGCTGAATAAAACGTCTTCTGAACTGAATTTATGAGTTAATGTGGTAGCTTCTTCTTCTTCCTTTCTTTTCCATTACCAAATGATAACATCTGTATCTTTGCCGCCTTTTTTATTAAATTTTTACAGCCGTATAGTATTCCGGATTAATATTTGAACCTTCTACTATCCTTTCCGACTAATGCGGGTCCATATTTTTGAATTTTCGCGATAAAAATGTTTTCTTTTAAAGCGTGACAACGTATGGGAACATTGTGGGTTCTTCTTCTTCCTTCCATTAATTACATTACAAATTGATAACAGCTGAGCCAGCAGATCTTTGACGGCTGTCTTTTAACCAAATTCCTTATTATTTCACTCATAATTAATATTCTAATTTAAATTTGATACCTTTTGCACTTTTTTCCAAATTGTTAATTACCAAAATTGCTATATTTCACTTGAAAAATTACTTTTCATGTAAAGCCAATGTAGGAATAAACAAATGATTGATTCTTCTTCTTCTCTCTATCAGATAACAATTCACAATGCACTATAAATTGATAGCAGCTGAGTAACAATATTTCTTATTTTAATCATTTTGCCCATTTGTTCAATATTATTCGATTCACTAATAGAAGTACGCTTTAAAAATTGGATTTTTACAGAATTTGCGATTAATATCACAAAATCTATTTTTTTAAATCAGAGAATAAGAAAAAAGAGACGTTCAGCTCTTCTTCTTCCCATTACATTATAAATTGAAAACAAATTAGACAACATACCATTCACGCCTGTTTTTTTGACAAAATGTCTTATTATTTTACTCACAATTAATATCCTGCTTTAAATTTGGGACCTTATACATCTTTTTCAAATTAATAATTACCAAAATTGCTAGAGTTCACTTGAATCATCTCTCTATCAGATAACAATTCACTACAAATTGATAACAGCTGAATTATTATTTATTTATTTCGTCAGATAATACTAATACTACTGAATAAAAATTGCATCATTAACTTTAACCCTTCCACAAAGAGAGAAAGAAAAATGAAGTCTGCTTCTTCTTCTTTTTAATGAGTTACAAATGCTATAGATGACAGCTTTCCTTTTATTTAGATTTTAATCTACTTTTAACTGATTTTCGTTAATATTATATATTTTATTATGTATTTCTTTATTATTATTTATTATATTATTAATATTTTTTATTGTTATTTGCACATTTCCGTGATTTTCCGTTAAAAAAAATAAATTATTTCCATATAAATTATTTCCATTGTAAAGAAATGAATATTGCTTCTTCTTATTACATTATCAATCACTGTTATTGATAACAGCTGTTGGTGTTAGGGTTCTAAAATGCGAAAAACGACCTGTGCTTATATGGACAAATTCTTAAGTTTGGTGTATTTTTAATAGAAATTATATACGGTAATAAAAAATGATGAGATATTCAAAATAATTAGAGATAAAAGTAAATAGAGAGTGTCTTTTTTATTATTGCATTATAATTGTCAATTTTTATTCTTTTTGACATTTGAAATCAAATGGATGGATCTAATTTGACATTTCGCGTTTAAAATACTAAATCCACACGATTTCAAACGTCAATTTTATAGTGTATACATCACGTTGATACTGTTCACAAATCTAGTGGATTATTTTTGACGTATATACAATGGCATTTGACATTTAAAATCGGGCTGAAATCGTATTCTACATTTCATTAATTTTTTTGTTCTGTTTCGGGAACACACCGTATATACAATTGTTTGAATAAACCTCACTATCGATAGTCAGACATTGAAAACGATATAACCCACGTCGATAGTGTTATCGATTCTGTGTCATCACTATTGCCAGCTCACTTGTTTCTCAAACAAATTTTTTGACGTGTGACGACGACTACGTCGACGAGTGAAACGATAGCCAGTCAGCCAGCCAGCCAACATTGATTTGGTGAAACGTAACAGAAAACATACCAGGGAGATAGCTGTGGAGAGCAAGCTGCTGCTGTTGTTGTCGTCGTCTGCTGCCTGCCTGCTGCTGGAAAACAAAACGAAAAATTGGATATTTTTTTGTGGAATATTTCTAAGGAATTGAATAGAGGAGTAACCTGCCAACGATATGGCCATTAAACCAGCCAGTTTGGGACGCAAGTCCACCAACAAGAATCCCCCCATTCTCAGCCATGAATTCGTGATACAAAATCATGCCGACATTATCTCCTGTGTGGCAATGGTATTCGTTTTGGGTCTTATGGATGAGTCGACATCACCATTTGCCAGCGCCTTTATTTCTCTACATCATAATGTCAGCGGTGAGGAGCCGACACGTGAACAACCGCTGGGAAAGCCCTTTACCTACGTGGCTGGCATCAAGGACTACTGTGCTGTGTTCTTCTATACCCTGACCTGCATTATTATGCATGCCATCATTCAGGAATTTGTGTTGGATAAGATTTCGAGGAAATTGCATCTGTCCAAATTCAAGTTGTCGCTGTTCAATGAAAGTGGCCAATTGGTGGCCTTCTATGTCATGTCGTTCTTGTGGGGTGCCAATGTCATCTTGAAGGAGGGATATTTCACAAAGTTCTCACTGTTGTGGGATGACTATCCCAATCACCCCATGTCGTTCCTGCACAAGTTCTTCTTCATTATCCAGTTGGCCTACTACTTGCATATGTTGCCGGAATTGTATTTCCAAAAGGTCAAGAAGGAAGATCAACAGCCGAAAATCATTCATGCCGTGTGTGGTTTCTCCATTATTTGCTTGGCATATACCTTCGGTTTCCAACGCATTGCCTTGGTCATTTTGACATTGCATTATTTGTCCGAGACCTTTGCCCACATTTTCCAATTGATTGGTGTCTTCGATCGGGATGAGAAAATGGCCAGTGTGAAGATTGTCAATAATGCAGTGTTTGTGTTTGTTCGCTTCACCTCCATGGTGATTGGAGTGTTGGCCTTGTACTATGGAGTCATTGCTAATTCGTCACAGAAATTGCGGGGCTATTTGGCTTTGTTTGCCCTTTTGGGTCTGCAGTGCTATTTCATCTTCTCCTTTATTACGGAACAGCTGAAGGCTAAGCGTGAGGCCAAACAATTGAGCAAACCCGCTGCCAGTCAAAAGAAGAAGACACCCAAGGAGAAGACGAAAAAGGTGAAGCGTGAATCGGATTTGCCAGAGGCCGATCAATCACCCAGTGCTCCCATTAACAACAAGGTGAAAAGCAAGTAAATTCAAGAGTGATGAGAATGCACACACCACAATTCCGAACCGGCCACTAGCAATAGGCACTGGATAGAAAAAACAGTGCATAATCTAATAAACCCCAACAATATGCCGCTCAAGTTCAAATTGAAGTTCAGAAGACAAGATGCTCTCCACCAATTGAAAAAAAAAACACAAATTTTTTTGCTCAAAAAAACAAATCTTCACTTTCAATTCTATTTCAAATTGGTCTGATTTTTTTCAGGGCTCCTGGGAGATTTGACATTCTTCTCCTTCTCCACGAAATGCATTTAAGGCAATTTTTATTTTTGTTTTCCAAACGTTGTAACTTTTTTCTATTGAATATTTAAAAAATATATATTGTTAAACTATTTTTAAACTTCAAAACATTCTTACATCGACACTCTGTACTCAAAACACACAAAAGAAAAATTCCTTTATTTTTTTAAATAACAAAAACAAAATCAAAACTATTGTATTTTTTTTATATAAAAATAATTAAATTATAAACTATTTGAAGTTACTTTTTTTATATATACAAAACATAAAAATAAAAACTATTTTTTATTTTAATTTTCTACTATTTTTTTAGTTTATTTTTTTGTACTTTATTTTATTTAAAAAGAAAATAATAAAAAAAACAAATATATTTTTTATAAAAACTTTATAAAAAAACTGGAAATTTTTATGTTAATATTTATTTCCTATAAAAATAGGTCTAACACCTCGGCTGAATATAAAAAATAAAATACGTATACATAAAAATAAAATTATAAAAAAAAACGAAAAAAATCACCCAATAAAACAAATACTATTTTTTATAAAAAAACAAGTTTTTTAAAACTGCAGTTGTTTTTGTCTTGTGGCCATGTTGCAAGATTTTCCTTTCCCTTTCTGGTTTTTTGTTTTATTTATTTTTATTTGGGCCTCACTCAAGGTTATGGCGAAGTTGTTGTTGTGTACCAATTAGCTGGCATAGAGGGGGCCAGCTTGGCTCTTAATTGCTTACCGATGATGATAGTAATAATGATGATGACGTTGAAGATGTCTCTCTCTGTCTATACCGGTTTTACTATCAATTTAATTTTTATCCACATTGTGTATATATTGGTATAATGATAAAAATATACTTTCACACTTAAGCTACGTGGTTTCGGTGTAGTGGTGACCCATACACCAATTTCAATCAAATTGAAAGATAATTTAAAAAATTAATTAGTATTTTATTTTGAATAGAAAAATCTGGAAGTTTAGTAGAGGAGGGTGGTGGAAATAAATTAAATTTTGAAATATTGGATTAAAAATATATATTTTTTTAAAGGCTATAAACGGAGAGGATTTTTTAAAAAAAAATCTGGATTTAAGAAAAAAATGTTTTTAATTTACCTAAATTTTTTTTCAAACAAATCTGATATCTGAAAAAAGTTTTTTAAAAAATTCTAATTTTGGTAAAAAAAGTGGTTAAAAAAAATTATTTTAAATTTCATTTCATTTTTTCCAAAAAAATATAATGAAATTAAAAATATTTATTTTTTAATTTTTCTAAATATCTTTTTTCAAAGGCACTCAAAAACAATAATATTTTAATAAATATTTAAATATAATTTAATTACTCTCATAGTTTTGTGAATATAAAGGACATTTTTATTCATATTTTTAATATAATTATTTTTTTTATATATTTCTACTATTTTTTATTTTAGTAAGAAAAATCAAAAATACTTAAATATTTTTGAACAATAATAATTTTATTGATAATATGTGAACACTGTTTAATAAACATGTCTAAATATGTTTTTTTTTTTATTTTTTACATTAAAAACAAACAATGTTTATAATATTTTAATTTCATGTCGTATTTTGTTCTCCCTCTTCATTAAATGCGGGTGTAAAATCGCCCTAATAACAAAGTGTCATCATTGAGGATGTGTAACCATGCCTTTCTGTCGGCCCTGTAAATGCGCTGCACCATGTAAATACTATAATGTGGCGTTGTCACACCGTGTAAAAACGGCAGATAGAGCATTTACATTATAAAATGGGACATTTTTGGGAGTTTTAGAAGGGAAAATGATGTTTAAATTAAAATAAAAATTATTTAGGTGATTTATAAAGAAGAAATGAATAGAAAAATATTTATTCGGGTGTAAAATCGCCCTAATAACAACGTGTCATCTTTGTGGATGTGTAACCATGCCTTTCTCTCAATGATAGCCATGTAAATGCGCTGCACCATGTAAATACTATAATATGGCGTTGTCACACCGTGTAAAAACGGCGGATAAAGCATTTACATTGCAAAATGGGACATTTTTGTGAGTTTTAGAAGGGAAAAATGATGTTTAAATTAAAATAAAAATATTTAGGCTATGTATAATGAAGAAATGAAAAGAAACTCATATTTCTTCGGGTGTAAAGTCGCCCCAATAACAACGTGTCATAATTGAGGATGTGTAAGGATGCCTTTCTCTCAATGATAGCCATGTAAATGCGGTGTACAATGTAAACACCATAATGTGGCGTTGTCACACTGTGTAAAAACGCCAAATAGAGCATTTACATTATAAAATGGGACATTTTTGGGGATTTTAGAAAGGGAAAAACGATTTGTAAATTAAAATAAAAACATTAAGGCAATACATAATGAAGAAATAGAAAGGAAATATATAATGTTTGTTGATTTAAAAGGAGGCGTCGACACACCGTGTAAAAACGGCAGATAAAGCATTTACATAATAAAATAGTTTTTTTGGGGATTATAGAAGGAAAAAAGTGTGTTTAAATTGAAATAAAAATATTTAGGGAATACATAAAGATGAAATAGAATGGAAATTTATAATATTTCTGGATTTTAAGTATTGGTTTCTATTTTGTGCCACCCAAACAATTGGAGAATATTTTTCTTGAATTAATACACAATTTTTTTGTAAATATAGTTGGAGAAAATACGTTTTTAAATTGCCGTAATGTAAAAGGTGACATTTAATGCAAAGAAGACGAGGTTACACTACCGACTTATGTGAAGCAGTCTTGATAGTGTTGAATTTATAGCAATTGTGTAAACTTTTCAATATTTTAAAATAACTTTCCAGCATGAAATATGTAAAAATAGCATTTATTATTTATGCAAAGATATTTAAATTAATTTAAATGATATTATTGCTTTCTATTTTATGTAAATGTGTATTTAATTTAAATCAAATTCTTTTTTTCTATTTTACAGGACATTGAAGAAACTGGCGGCGAGGATAATACCACCTTATTAACCAATACTAATTTATCAGATGAAGATTAAGTACATTTTTTTTTCAAAGTTGGAGACAAATATGAAAAACACACAATCCAATAATTGGGTTCAAGCTAAAAAACCAAATATTTTTTTTTTTAAATAATTAAAAACAATTTTTATTATTATTTTTAAATTAAAAAAATCAAGAGACCAATATGGTCGTTACTACATTATTAACATTTAATTTCGACAAGAAATATTTTTTCCCAGTTACAAAACAATAAAAAAATATTTTTATTCTTTATCTCCATATTTAAAGTCCACACACAAAGCTACATTATTATATAAAATCCCTATTTAATGGAAAAAAGAACACAATTTATCATTGACAAGAAATAATAAACGCTTATTTAACTAAAAACAAACAGCTCATGTGCTCATATTAAGCAAAAGATAATAATAACACATTACAAATATATTAAACAATTTATTAAAACACATTTATAAAAAGTATTACAATTTGTGCAATATTATTTTTTTTTATTAAATTATTTGTTTTATTTTTCTTTTTATACAAAACCAAAAAAATTAAGACTGTTTCTTAACAAAACATAAAGCAAAAAAAAGTATAAAAATAATAATTAATAATAAAATGTCTCCTAATTAAATAAAAAAATAATATTGAAAATCTAAGTTAAAATATTGGAAATTTAAAAAAAAAATATTATTTTTCTATACAAAATATGTCTCCGATTTAATTTTTTTTTATAAAAAATATCACTGATGCTTTTTTAAGCCTTCCTCTTAATGTATACTCTGTACATGTACTGTGGGATGTTAACACGGTAAAGCGGGGTTATCATTCCAGTGTAAAAACGGCATATAGAGAATTTACGTTAAAAAAATGATGGTTTTTCTGACAATTCTTTATATTTTTTATATAAAAAAATTATTACTAATAATAATATTTTAAAATAATTATAATATTTCGATACCAAAAATATCACAATTTGATTTTTTCCTTATAAAAATATCACTGATACTTTTTTAAAGCCTTCCTCTTAATGTATACTCTGTACATGTACTGTGGGATGTTAACGTGGCGTTATCACTCGAGTGTAAAAACGGCATATAGAGCATTTACATTATAAAATTATGATTTTTCTGACAATTGTTAATATTTTTATATAAAAAATTATTACTAAAGATAATATTTTAAGATAATAATAATATTTCGGTATAATAATATGTCTCAGATGATTTTTTCTTTATAAAAAATATCACTGATATTATTTTTAAGCCTTCCTTTTAATGTGTGCCCTGTACATGTACTGTAGAATGTTAACACGGTAACGTGCCGTTACCACTCGAGTGTAAAATCGGCATTTAGAGCATTTACATTAAAAAAAATATGATTTTTCTGGCAATTCTTAATATTTTTATATAAAAAAATTATTACTAATGATAATATTTTAATATAATTATAATATTTCGAAACAAAAAATGTCACAATTTGATTTTTTTTTTCTTTATAAAAAATATGTCTGATGCTATTTTTTAAGAATTCTTTTTAATGAATGCTCTGTAATGTACTGTGGGATGTTAACACGTTAACGTAGCGTTGTCACTCGAGTGTAAAAACGACATATAGAGCATTTACATTATAAAATGAGATTTTGTCGGGATTTAACAACTATTTAAGAAATTTAAAATGAAGAACAGAAAAGATCGAGTCTATATATTAAGAAAAATCCCAGTTTTGTTAATTTTCATACGAT